CATCTTCAGAACGACGTTTCTGTCCTGCCCTTGATTTGTGATCTTTTTGAGCTGGCTAAGAGATTGTCTGAAGACAATCAGCTTGCCGAGGAGATCCAGTTAAATGTCTCGAAACTTTTCTCCCGAAAAGTACGAACTCACTGAAAGACGCAGCATCCCACCCTCCGAGACGCTCTCGGAAATCCTACATTTGATGCCCAATTAACCACTGATAGCTTCAGTGATTTCCTGTCCCACCATTATCCTCACAGATCTATCGGCGCCCGTCTATCCCCAACCATATTGACGTCACGAATTAAATCCTCCACCTACTACTAGTGCACTTTGGGGCATCAGCGTAGATCCCTCGCACCCGCATCAACCGCACACATCGCGGGCCCCAACTGCAGGGGCCTAATCGACTAAATGCGATGGCTATGGAAATAACTTGGCATATTTCCAACCGTAATCCTCGAAGAATTATCGGTGCCCGTCTATCCCCAACCATTGTGACGTCTACCCTTCCCTAACTCTAACGACCTCAGCCCCGTCATGTAGACCTATGCCCCATTATTTTGATCGAACCAACACGCGGGCGTACTGAGAAATTTATTTATATGAAAAGCAAAACAGAAATAGAAGGGAATAATTGGGATCCGTGCTGTTATTCGGGATCGCCCTGTCGTCGACGATGCACAGAGGCGGCGGTCACCGCGGACTTCAATATGCTGCGTATGGACTTCTCAAAATCCAGCAGGGTAAACGGCCGACCTGCGCTCCATCGATTGTATACATCTACATAGAAGTGAATTAGTATGCGTTAATTTGTGCCTACCTTGTAGCATCATGTAAGTGTTGGTCTGGCGGAAGTTGCGTTTGGAATATCTTCCGTTGAGGTTAAATCCCGGTAGGAGGGAATTGGCGAATAACGACCTCAACTGTCGTTTGACAAACTCCCGGACCGTGTTGCCGCCCACCGTTTGTAGGTAGGCCATCTGAAAGTGAAAGTAAATCAAATTAGAGATATTACCGTTTCCTGACGATAGTCGTCCCTGAGGATATTTTGTTCAAATATATCAAAGTCCGACATGCGTTCTAAGGGCGACGGCAGGGTGTTTGTTGGCAACACCGACACGGTCGGCCTCGTGTCCATCTGACGCATCTGCTGGATGCTTGCTTCAATGGCCCCGAGGCGAGCGCATATACCAGTAATAGCGGCTTGAGATAGGGTTAAATAATTGCCTGCACTTACCATTGACGATTCCTTGGTGGCCGAGCGTGTGGCAGCAGCAGCCTGGGCATGCCTCATTCTGCTGGACGTTCGTGGGCACATTAAGCAAGGCTAAAATAGGCAAATTATATGAACTATACCAGTAGATTGTCCCTCCGGCGGGTTGTAATGCACCAGCAACCTGCTGGGAGGTGGCGTTGGCAAGGGGGAGATTGTACTGCTGCTCCCCAGTTGGCCCAGTCTACTCTGCTGGGAAGCAAAGAGTTAGCAGTGTATAACATGCAACTTACGTCTCCTGCGTTACCCGGGCACCACTTATCGGTGACCTACGGACCGACTGCGGATGCAAACCCACCCCTCGGACCTGGGCTTGGACGCCCCTTGCTTGGTTGCAATGAATCTCAGCTGCACACTTACTTTTGTCGCTTCAGGCGCTTTGGACGACCTGGCTTGTTACTGTGTGACCTGTGAACATGCACTGCTTAGTTGGCTCACAGTGAGTTGTGGGCGTCAGTGTCAGGGGGGGGGGCTGAGTTTGGGGCGCTGACACGTTCGTGTCGCGCTCAGCGTTACGCCGTGCGTGGGCGAAGTCAAGTATCGCCTCAAGCCACTCATGCCAGAAAGTTTTTCGAAATCGATAGGCGACTGCAAGCCAGACAGGCCGTCCATTTAAATACCCCTCAGGCGTATCGTACTACTGCCTCTACTGGTTTTTGTGTTATTCCTTTGAGCCTTCTATATCTGCTGAATTTTAAATTCTTACGATTTAATCCTTGCTTTTCAGAATGAATACCCCTTACAAATCATCCTCCGTCCCTGGAAGCCAGTCAACTGGGCTGAAACGAGTGCGTTCGGCGGATAACGTAAGTCACAATGACAACTGCCCGTTTCTGAACGATAGTGAATTAGGTAATGTTGTTAGGGAGGCCGGTTTGATTTTGCCATGCCAGTGCACCAGTTCATCCCGGGGCGCAGCATCCAGCATGAACCCCAGGGTGTCTTTAAGGGAGAAGGTGAGGTTGTGGGCAATTAAAAGCCGCGCATCTCACTCTCAAATAAGACTACTACTACCTATCCTTAGGGAATACGAGGAGGATATTCCTCTAGACCCTCGCACCATACTGGGCAGTAAGACTAGGTATCCTGTGGTTCCAATGGGCAACGGAGAATATGTGCACATTGGCCTCCGGCATCAACTAATGGCAAAGATAGAAGGTCACATGGATGAGGTAAGTGCTTCGGAAACTATAGAAGTTCATCTTAATTTCGATGGCATACCACTTTTTAATAAAACTAGGATTCAATTGTGGCCTATTCTAGGCATGATTACTTTTCCATTTCGTAGTTCAGTTTTCCCTATAGGTATATTCTGCGGCTCATCGAAGCCGTCAGATGTACATGCATATTGTAGTGCTTTAATTAGTGAGATTAAAACTCTAGAATCTAGTGGATTGTTAGTTCCAAAAATAGGAAGATCTCTAGGCTTTAAGGTTTCGGCCATCATTTGTGATGCGCCAGCCAGGGCTTTTATAAAGCAGGTTAAGAACGTAAATGCCTACGAAGGCTGCGAAAAATGCAGCCTTCGTGGGAGATATGTTGGTCCATTTAGGAAGATTATATATTTAGGTATAGATGATAGTCCTAGGTTAGATACTGACTTTATGTTATATGTACCGCACGACCATCAGGTCGGGCGGTCACCCTTTTTACCATGTAATGTAGGTCTTGTTTCTAGCTTTCCTTTGGAACCAATGCATTTAGTTTACCTAGGTATAGTTAGAAAGATTTTGCAGTTATGGCTAAGGAGTCCCGCAGGCAACGAATATCGACTGGCGCCTTCAAATATCCGCAGCATTAATGAGCGACTGTTGTCTTATAACAGCAGTTTGCCAGCGGAATTTACGCAGAAGTCGCGAAAAGTAAGCGAATTCGATAGCTGGAAGGCAACAGAATTTAGAATGTTTTTACTCTATACTGCCTGTTTAGCGCTTAAGGATATTATTGTAGGTAAATATTATAGGAATTTCATGCAACTAGTTGTAGCTATTAGATTATTAAGTTCTAGCGCTGACTGTGTGCCGCATGCGGCATACACGAAGCGTCTATTAAAACATTTTAATTCGTCTTTTCAGCATGCATACGGTCCAGAGCACATGGTGTATAACATTCACAGTGTTATACACCTGCCAGACGAAGTTGAACGGCATGGACCTCTAGAGTCTTTTTCAGCTTTTCCATTTGAAAGTTTCTTAGGACGCCTTAAAAGGCTAATACGTAAGCCAAGTAGTCCTCTTCAGCAAATTTCACGTAGACTTAGTGAGGGATTGCTGCAAGAGGATAATAGTGGCTCGTCCAGCGACAAGTCAAGCTATAGAATAGCCGCAAATAGTGCGGACGCATTTATACGAACAGAAAGTAGGTTAATGTACGTCAGATACGTGCATTCTAGAAGTATTTCAGGTTTTAACTTGTCAGTATCCTTTTTTTCTGATATTTCTGATTTTTTTACTTATCCTTTACCGTCATCGGTAGCAGAAGTATATAAAGCCAGGCTGTCCGATGACGTAGTTAAGCTAACTATTTCTAGAAATTTCGATAAGTTTATAGGTTTTCCTGAGGAAGACTACTATGTTTTAGTTAAAATCATTTAATTGTTTAAGTTTAGTAGACTCTATAGGTCCGTATAGCAATGTGAATGTTATACACCATGTGCTTTGTATGTATGTATGTATGTATGTATGTATGTATGTATGCATGGGGTGTAGGGGTGTCAGCGGTGGGTCCACGTGATGGTCGTAGTGGTCGCTCACTTGCTTGCAGGTGAGACTACGCCTAGCGTCCATTTGCTGGCACCTAGCTCTCACCTGTGGCTCCACGTAGCTGGGCCCTGCTCAGCGGCCACACCCCGGGCAACCGTCTCGACCGGCGGGCTAAACCAGGTGAGGGTATCCGTGCGTGCACCTGCACGCGCGGTATTGTGGTCTGCGTTGGACGGATGGATCTTCGCGTCGACATCGTCGAGACGAGGCTCTGCCTGGACCATCGCAGGCGGCCCCCAGGTAAGTTTCCCCTCAGGTAAGTGCGCTTGCTTCGTTTCTTCCTTTTGTTTGTTGAAGTTCCGCGTCGTACGCTGCGCTTGCTGCCTGCCCTTTATATGCTAGTCTGTCTGTTAATAGCTAAACGACACCCACGATGCCTGCTGTGATTGTCTGTCCGTCAGTCTATGCTACTCTCTACTAATAGCTAGGTGTTACGGTGCCTGACTTTGTGTGGTGCCCTCACTTTGTCTCTGACTGGTGTCTGTGTCCGCTTGTCCACCCTAGTACTAAGTCCCATAGCGTTAGGTAGTGTGTATGCTCTCTCCTACTTCACTCCATCACATCATCACCTCAACACCAAGGTCCCAGGCTAATTCGGGTCGTTCTCTCACTAACAAAAAGTCGTGGCCCATAGTGGAGTCCGGCAGCCGTCTGGGATAACCGGGCAGCCCTGTTCAGGGATGCGTTGCCTGCCCCCGCGAGGGGGAGGGGGCTAGAAAAGGTGCCCTAAAGATCGCTGGGAACCACGCTGTCTGTAGGCTGGCCGTGGCCGCAGACAAAAAACACACGGTCGAAACAGCCAAAACCGAAACAACAACAACAACAATCGCTCTCTTCCTCTTCCAGCCTATTCTTCTTCTTCTCCTACTCCTACTTTTCGCCGCCGCAGTCGCCAGACTGGCAGGGTGAGCCCGCTCACTCTGGCAGCCTGGAATGTTCGTTCCCTTTTAGACAATCCGAGGAGCAACCGACCGGAACGGAGGACGGCGCTAGTGGCACGAGAACTGGCGCGCTACAAGGTGGACATCGCCGCACTCAGCGAGACCCGATTCTCCGAACAAGGCCAACTGGAGGAGGTGGGTGCCGGCTACACCTTCTTCTGGAGTGGTCGACCCAAGGCAGAGCGACGAGACGCGGGTGTCGCCTTCGCCATCCGGAA